TTGGAGACCATTCTCCAAAAAGATACTTCCAAGCAAATTTGGGATTCCATGAAGAAAGTATCAGGGCTCAACGAAGGTGAAGCGTTCAGTGCTGCAAGCACTAAGGAAAGATTTTGAGACTCTTCAGATGAAACAAGGAGAGTCTGTCAATGATTATTTTTCAAAAGCAATGGCAATTGCAAACAAGATGAGTATCCATGGCGAGAAGATGGAAGACGTAACCATCGTAGAAAAGATCCTGTGATCTATTACTACAAAGTTTGATTACGTTGTGTGCTCCATTGAGGAGTCAAATGACATTGAGAAGCTTTCAATTGATGAGCTACAGAGTTCCTTGCTTGTTCATGAGCAGAAGATCAATCAGAGTACATCTGAGGAACATGCGTTGAAAGTTTTTCAACACATAGTGACCTCTGTACGAATTGTCGCGACCTCTCACTATTGTCTAGTCTTGCATGGAGAGGAAACCGTATCCATTACATCATCTGTGTCATGGAAGGAAGATTGCCAAGATTGGCTATTAGAACTCGTACAAGCCCTGACCCTGTCTCGCCTCCAAGATCCATCTCCTGTATTCCTTTTATCACTGTGTGATGAAACAACCTGCTGAGAAGAGAGACGTCTCGTCAATGACCCAATTAGTTTGCCCCATATGCTTATTTCTCCTTTAAGCCGTGCAAAGGCATATGTAAATTGGGTATAGGCATCAGAATTAAGTTTGCCATGTGAATCCTCATATTTCTTCACATTTTCTTTTGTAGCATGACGAATTAATGCGACAGCAGGCAAAACAGTACTCAGGAAAATATTCATAACGAAACTCTAACATCTTCTCGCCTACCTCGGGAAGGTAACTAGAGTCCTCCTCATCAAAGGTAGCCACAAATCGTATATGAATAAAACTTCCAATGAAGTCATCCCCATCTCTATTATCCACTCATAATACCTCACCAGGCACATCATCTAGTAGCATCCAAAAAACGCCAATACGTCCAAGGCGCCATTTCAAGAACTCGTTTTTGGTCGCGTTCATAGATAAACTGTACCCAAAAACTATTAGTCACAATTTCCTTAATCGAAACCTCATTAGAGCCCCTTCATAAACTAGTAAAGTGTCTCAATGAACCTCCTGACTTGAGAGGACTTTAGCCACCAGACTATACAGAAAGCCAACAAAACGGTCAAGGAGGTAACTGCGACATTCAGCAAAGCTGCCATTACTCTGTCCAGATTACTATTCACACCATACTTATTATAAATTAAGCATCGGAGAGCCTTCGGCCGGCACTACACATGTGTCAAAGGACTTACCTAGCGTTTCTTTGTCTTGTAGATAGATCGCTCTACCGAACTTCAGAAGAGGCCGAAGGAGACAACATCACTAAGTTGGGCCCAAAAATGTTGAACCATTTTTAAGGTATCAACAAAATCTATTTTTATTTTCCACATTCCTCGTTTAGAAATTGTACCTTTTTATATATGTGTTTGAATATATATAGGTGGTAGGCATTTTTTAATATTTGTCATCGTCATATGGGTTGGTTTTCTTATTAGTTTCATCATTATTCTGGTTATGCTAGCTCTTCGTTAAATGAATTTGCCAATTTATTTTGATTATCATACATTTAATTTAAGAATAACTGGGTGGAACGCATCAATAAGTTGCCAAGTGAAATTCTTGTTAGTATATTGTCTCTCTTGCCATTAAAGAAAGCAGTGGCTACTACTAGTGTTCTTTCAAGGCATTAGTTGTATGTGTGGGCATCTACTTTGACACTTGATTTTGATCCTGAGAAAACCTTAGTCGAATGTTACAAGATAAGAAAGGCCGTAAGTACGTCAATTGGGTCTATAATGTGGTCGAACAACATAGCAGCCCAACATCGCTATGGATTGAATTTGCATTTAAAAAATAACAAAAATCAAAGGGGATCGATTTCATTAGGTTTTGTCCTCTCAACAATAATCTTAAAAAATAACAATTCACACGACATCAGATTAGATAAAAAGTTTCATACTATGAAGTTTCGTAACCTACATATGAAATCAAATGCAAAGAATGTGAGTGAAGAATTAATTTCCCCACTGATTACAAGCATACAAATTCTACTGTTGAAGGAACCCTATTTTTAAGGTGCATATTAGCATGACGTCTTGCCTTTGCTTCCTTCTTCCTTTCTCTCTTTCCCGATTCTGATCCGCTATGATGACAATCCCACGACCAATAAGGAACAATAACAAGTTTTTCGAGAGCAACAACATTCTCCATCAAGAACATGACATGTTCGACAGCATTTGTACGATCACAATACCCTGATACTTCTACTACCTTGATGTAATGGTGGGGGCATTTGGCAGCTTTCTTTATTTTTCTCCCCTCATTAAAAGGCTCCTCCCAGAATCGCAACTGCATCAAGCAAACAATTTATTAGTGGAACAAGAACCACAATTAAGTCTACATGTGACCGATAGAATCACCATTAACCTCATGAAGTCATAAGACCAATGGAAATACAAAAGATTATATACTTATCTCCTAACCTATGATACAAGAAGTAACAAGAATCACTATTAAATTCCAAATATCTTTTCTCCAATATAAGGTTTCACGTCTTTTCCTGATGAAATTTGTGCCTAGATAAATCAAGAAGCTTCTAGAATACTCAAGAGAAGTTTACCAACTAAGCAAAGTCGGCAAGTCCAAACAGCTCTTAGAAACTTCATGATATAACTACTAATGTATAATGAATAATATGTCGGTTAGGTTACTTTTCTCCTCCATTCAAATAAAATTACTTTCAAAAGTTTTCTATTCTATCATGTTTTACGGCCTACTCAACGAATTAAAATTATGCAAAAAAATATACCTTCAACGCAAGTCTCTGCAAGTAAGGAGATGCCTTCATAAAAGACGATAATTGGCTAAGACTCAACTTGTAATCTCCTTCGACCGTTAACTCCAAATGCTTGAGATTTGGTAATATAGGAAAGGTGTAATCCTTATTGTACTCCTGAGAGCCAAAAAAGAAAGTGAGTAACTACATAATCAAACGAAACAAAAAGAAAAGAAAAACAACATATCATCATAAGAAAATAAAGCATAAATACTAACCGCTACTTGAGTATTGATCATGAGAGTCTCTAGCTGATAAAGACAACATGCAAGTTGGGTAAAGGCAAGTCTCATGAAAGCAGTGGAGGCACATAAACGAGCAATGTCATTACGCTGACTAGTAATGGCTACCTCAACCAGAGAGGGTACATTACTGAGACGCAAGTCTATTGCAGTCCCGGTGTGAATAAACGAAACAAGGTTTGTGTCATAAATTTCAACTCTTTTGAGGTCATCACATTCTTCTAGTTTTAAGTACTTCAATGCAATTGATGAACCAACAACTCTTAAGTTAACTAACTTTTCGACAAAAGACACTGATAATCGCTCAAGAAATGGGCATACTGACAAGAAGTGCTCTAGAATTTCTCCAGTCACATCAACAAAGTTAAAAGAAAGAACTTTGAGGGATTTAAGTCCAACACAACGCCTTGAAGCAAACCCTTCCTCGAGACCTAACAGTTTGCGGGGAAACATATATGAATCTTTGTTGATTCCATATTCCTTAACAAAATCCAAGACTAACACTTGAACTCTCTTTTTCAATGCAAATTCAATCCATTTATCGATGGAACTTGTAAAGCGGCGATCTAGATCGAAGCAAGCCCTAAATAGTTTGATGTTAGGGCCAGAATGTTGTTCCACTACACGATTGACCCAATTGACATACCTATGGCTTTTCTTGTTTTGCAATGTTCGACTGTGGTATTTGAAGCCGACCAAAGTTTCCTCGGGATCAAAATCAAGTGTCAAAGTAGACCATGCCCACGCATATCGCCAGTGCCTTGAGAGAACACTAGTAGCCACTGCCTCCTTTAGTGGCAAGAGAGACAATATACTACCAAGAATTTCATGTGGCAACTCACTGATGCGGTCCATCAAATATGGCAGTAAGTTTTTACTCTTGTTAATACTAATCTAAACGAGGTCTAAATCTAATTGACGCCGGCGTTAACACTTATCAGGCTGCCTTTGCAGATCTAAGATATCCAATGCTCCTAGCCCTAGGTTTGTCCGTTCGTTGTTGCACTTGTAAGGTTTTTAACCCTTTTTTTTATTATTTCCTTTTCTGATTAGAAATAGGATATGATCGTCTTTTTCCTACAAAGACTGGGAACTTGGAATAGAATAGGTAGGAGCTCTGACTAGGAAACTTGGAATACAGTAGGCTGTGGGAATATGGTGGTGCTGTGGCGGTTTGATGACACAATTAATTTTGGGTTTTTGAGTTACACTCTGTATTTTTTCTCTCATTATTATGATATAAAAAATAATTCTATCTAACACATGTGGCAATTTAATTAATTTAAAATTAATGACATGTCATTTTTTTATATCATTCGGACTAAATTTAGTGTGCCTAGCATTATTGTTTTAATTAAGACAACATATATGAGAAGCACGCTGAAGATAAACATAATTATTCATTGTTATTGTTATCTTATTGTACTTTTCAGAATACATATAAATTATAGAAAGGGTTTATTTCCAGAAAAGATTATCAAGCACGGGGGCTGTGTTGGGTCTGTATCCAAATTTACTCATCTTTTCCTCTAAACTGTTCCACATTTTATTAATCTCCCGACTCCGGCGGGGAAGTGTCACCATCTACAAAGCTATAAACTTGCTCTCCCACTTCTATGCAACTGCGCCCGGCTTCTTTCTGAAGGCCACTCTCCTTTATCCTTCGCCGCACCCGTCTCACATCATCCCAAACTTACCATTTCTCCAAATAGCTCATGATGAGAATTAGCCAGACAATCGACCAACTTTTCGATAAGATAACGGGAAACAAGAACAAGTTTCTAAGATTGGGATAGTACACCATCAAGATCAAGCTTGAAAATACACAAACGGGGCATGCAAAATTTGATTATTTTTTAAAAGAAAAAAATGACTTGCGACATTCAATATTCATCTTAAATATACAAACCCACAAGGAACTTAAATGTTTATGGTAGGGCACAAGCTAAAAGGAGGCTCCCAATGCTAAACCAGTCAGGATCCAAGCCTGAATATTTCATTTGAAGGTACAAATCTAAAGCCTTTTTTGGATCTCCATTTTGGGCATAGCCACCAATAACTGCGCTCCAGGACCTCACTGTCTTCGTCTCTATCCAATGAAAGACCTGCTCAGCCGAAGTAAGTGACCCGCATTTTGGGTAGGCTGCAACAAAAGCATTGGCCACCAGTTCATCAACAAAACCATTTACAATCAGGTAGTATTCATATTATAAAACGTAAAATATAGCATTCATATTTAAGAAACAATTCATTATTTTAGTTTCGCAACCTCCTCTTTGTCCATATTCATTATCTAGAACTGTATCATTCATCCTAAGGAATATATTATAGGCTATATTATATATGTGAACCATATATATCTTCCATTCATATAGGGATTGACCAAGCGAATGACGAGAATTAGCTAGACAATCGACCAACTTTTCGAAAAGATAACAGGGAACATGAACAAGTTTCTAAGATTGGGATAGTACACCATCAAGCACGAAAATACACAAATGGGGCAACAATAAACCACCCACTCTTCTATTCGTTTTGTATTTAGCTTAACACAGCATTGTGACCAAAAATCTTCAGAGAAAATAGAATAGGAGTGCCAACCTGTAATTATTCCTTCGTCAAGTGTGGAATATTCAACGCTTAATATTGAGCCAGCATGGCATGCTAGAACACCATCACATGTTCTTCAGGAAATAGACCACATTCTTGCAGTCCAAAATCATCACTACCAGTTATAACTGTCTCCCACCATTCTAATCGACCTGCATGATTGACATATAAAATACATGGCTACTTTAATAATTGTTAATTATCAATAAAATACATAATTATCAATAAAACACATTAAAATAATAATAATAAAAGCTATGTTCCTTTAGCTCACCAAATCCATTTTGTGTGCCCAACAAGCTTGTGCATTGCCTTTCCTGCACGAATAACCCAGATGTTTGACAACGAAAAAACTCATAATCAAACTAATGAAAACAAATGTAAAAGTTGAGAAGAGCCAGGAAAAGTGTAAACATAAAAGAAGAAAACAAATGTAAAACTTTAGCCGTGTAGTCACCAGAGAAGCATAGTTGGCCAACCTGATGTAACAACGGAAAACAAACATTACTTTGCAAAGATTACATCTCACATGAACAAGATTTCATTTTCATCTGCAACAAATTGTCATGTATATATTCCTAGAGGATAATCCACTTGCTGCAGCAAGGATCTGCCTCCTCTTTTCTTCTTGCTCTTCTGTCCTAATGTGTGAGGGAGACCTATCATATGTGTATTTGGCACCTGATCCTAAAATCCATAAAAAACGAGGAAACAATTAACACCATATCAAGCTTAATATCTGTAATATCTTCTTCTCTTGACATAAAAGTGATGCAAAGAACTTTAAGAACACTAACCTGCACATGAAATCAAATGCAAAGAATATGTGTGATTACTTAACACTCTCCAAATATTCGGGCTTCAGAAACAACTAACAAGCCATTAGCTCAGAGGAAAGGCATAGCTTCAAGACCTCCCCAACATTAAAGTTTAAACTTTAAGAAAAATAAAAGAAGTGAATAACAATGACTACACTGATGTTTGTTGAAGTATAATGAAAAGCTTATAATCTGCAAAGTTGGTCACAAAATTTAAAATAAATCAAGGCAAAATTGCCCTTTCAGTCTTTTACAACAAAAGTGGAACCCCTAAATTTATTTCGCTAATACTTCATAATTATTTTGCTTGGCACCCGACTATCACCTAGGTTGAAGGTCATGATCCTCTCCCCAAGGTTTGTTGACACCTTTAGGATATTGCTCAGGAGAACTATATAAACCATCCTTCATTTGATCTATCCCACCCCACAACATTGGGATGCAATAATTTTGTCATCTCCCCATGCAAATCGCCTAATTCTGGCTCTGGGATAGGAGGTATATCTTCCATCGTTGTGATAAAATTACACTCAAGGTCAACAACAACTACCTAGAACCACAAGGGGAAGGCAAGAAAACAGATATTACATCACTAACTTTCTTACATGCTACAAATTTCATCATGATTTTGCAATCTTGTGGAAAACATGAAAGAAGAAATCACAGAAAAAGAAACCAAAACAAAGATAGAGACAAAAAGAAGGTAAGAAGGGCAAGCTGTAAGAGATATGCAACATTGTAAAGAATAGAAAACTTAAGCCTAAGTAATTATACAATATACAGCCACGAATTCCTGTGATAGGTACTTTGACCAAATACAGGTCAGGATGAAATCCAAAGGTTTCCCAACATATTGTTATTAACTTATAAGCTATGCTGTTGGGAACCTAACAACCATATAACACATATAAAAGACCATGACATATATTGTTCAACCAGCACATGTAAATTAATAACTATAAATTGACAAAAGTGCAGTTTACGCAGAACAACTTACACCATCGATGGCCAGAGTAGATGTATCAACGCCTGAATGGAGACCAATCATTTATGGCGTAGGCGCATCAATATAGTCTACTCCACTGAAAAAGAGTAACAGAATGTAGACTTGCTTCCGCACAATAAACATGCAGAAATTAGACAAGAGTCAAATACAGGAAGCATACAAGATAATGCTAAAGCATTATTTATTCCATCTTTGAACAAAAAATAAGTTCTTTTGAAAATGTTGGAATGTAAAAAATTTGCCACCATAATGACAAACACTAAATGAAGCACAGGTAAAGGGGAACATATTTTCGTAGACCCATCAAAAGCAGAAGGCAGACGCATTCAACTAAAGAAGAAGAAAACAACGAGGCTATGCATCAACATCAGAAGAAAATAATTCGTCTAGATTATTCCTAAGTAAACGAAAGCTAGGCGATGGAGAAACTAGACAGATACACTTATCTGCAAATCAATTTGCAGGTACACAATAAGCTTCAGCAATATCCTCGCTGACTGGATCCCGGAACGCAATGCAACTAACATAAATTTTTGTCCCATCACCCTCTGCACAAATTAGGAAAACACCCATAGGAACAAACAACAAGACATGGGTACATGCACACTTGCAAGAAAGCTACTAACTATGAAATGATCATTAAACAAAAAGGAAACATATTAATGTTAAACAGAAAACACATAGCTCTATCTAAAGCTTTCTTTAAACCAACTAATCAGGAGAAACCACTCGTATAATGCCTCCGATACACTCTGAAGCTTTTAAGCGACAACACTAACTTGAAGAAGCGGTTAAATTCTACATTTTCTTCTGCAAGTTTAATAACAAGGAAGGAAACACATTCTTGAAGAATGCATAGAGCAGAGCGTAGAGCTTAAATACCAGTGAGAACAATGGGGTAGCTCCGTGGAATCGTGTAGGCGTCATTGGAATCATAGCCTGATGAGTAGAACAAAACACCAGCTGGAAACGCGCACTGAAACAGAAAACAAGAAAAGCACACAATCATCCAGATGATTCTTAAGGCGCAGCTGAAATTGAATGAAAAAAAAAATGGATTTGGGATATCAAACAGAAGAAAAGAAGAGAAGCAGAAATAGAAAGCAGCGAAGATCGGTGCTTACGGTTGGGAGCTGAGGAGGACGAGGGTACTGGTCCAGAAGAGACGGCAGGTAGAATGTACATACAGACAGATGAATTTGAGAGAGAGAGTTGGAGGTTGAGATCTGGTTCAGGGGATAGTAAATGAAGGACGACTTGAGATTCAATTCAGCCTCTGAAGCTCTCTCACACGAGAGGAAGCTGAACACAGGGCTGTTCTGTTCTGATCCTCTCCCACTCGATCAGTGTACCAGAACGACATGTAATTTGAGGGTTTGTTTCCTAAAACAAAACAGTTGTAACTAGATAATTAAAACAATATATAATTTTTGTCTCGTTTGTATTTTTGAATGATTCTTCTATATCCATATATATAGAGTAAAAGGTAGAGAATGATAAAACATTCAAAATACTAAAACATGTCATTTGTTAATGCAAATTAAGAATTGAAATTATTAATTAAATGAGGATAATATGGTAAATTCATACTTTTTCATATTTAAAAAATTAAAATTAAAAGAAAAATCAGATAATGGATCCAATTTTTATGGAACACAACTTCTCATTATCTTTTTTAATTCTAAAATAAATTTAAATTTTTAAAAATATAAAAAAATAAAAAAAAAACCCCTCGCAGGTACGGAAGCGCGTACTGAGAAGCTAGTATGTATAAAGTAAAAGACAGATAATGGTGAAATATTCAAAATACTAGAAAATGCACTTGGTTAATGCAAACATTAAGAATTGAAATTATTAATTAAATCTGGATAATACACTAGATCCACACTTTTTTCATATTTTTAAAAATGCCAAAACTTACTTTTGGTCCTTGTAATTTAGCACTTCAACCACTTTTGACCATGTAGTTTCAATTCCGTCAATTTTGCCCTTGTAGTTTCGTATTTTTAGCAATTCAATGACATGTTAGTATTCTTATCAATTCCTTTACCGTGCAAAGGACAATTTCGTCAACCCAAAACCCTCTAGCGTAAAATCTTGTTTGAAATTCTCCCCATTTCATATTAGGGCTCGAAATTCAACAACTAATTCTAATTTTTGAAGAACCCTAAATCCAAATGACCAACTTCAAGCCCTAAGATGAAATTATGGGAGTTTCATATGAGTTTTTATGCTCAATGATTTTGATGAAATTGCCCTTTACATCGTCAAAGAAATCGACAGGAATACTAACTTGTCCTTGAACTGCTACAAATATGAAACTACATGGGTCAAAATTGACAGAATTGAAACTATAGGATCAAAATAGTTGAAGTGTCAAATTATAGGGACCAAAAGTGACTTTTAGCCCTTAAAAAAATTAAAATCAAAAGAAAAAGCCTCTCATATGCGCGGAAGCACGTGCTGAGAGGCTAGTTTATCTATATATATATATAAAGTAGAGAATGTTGAAACATTCAAAATGCTATAAAATGTCACAGGTTCATTCAAACATTAAAAGTTGAAATTATTAATTAAATGAGGATAATATGGTAAATTCACATTTTTTGTATTTAAAAAAATTAAAATTAACAACAAAATCAGATAATATGTCATACTTCTACTCATGTTATCTTTTCTTAATTCTAAAAATAAAAAATAAATAAAAATAAACCAATTGGCACATGCTCGCCAAGGGGCTAGTATTATTAATCTAAAATGAAAAATGAAATTTATCTTTAAAGAAAAAAAAATTATAATATTTGTATAACACAATTTAAGCGACACTCAAGGGATTTTTGTAAATTTTTGCATAGTTAATTTTGTATTAATTCTTAAGATTTTTCGTTGCGTCGAGAATTTATGATAAGATTTAGCAACCTGATTAAGTTAGGTATTAGTATGGGTGTACCAATTATATAACTAAATTTCACTTCAGATGATCTAAAATAGATCACTCAAAATTGGCACATTCATCAAATAATTACCTAAAAATGTAAAAATTAATTTTATTAATTTGATTGGGTTAAAGAGTTTATATAGTCATAATAATTTAGAAAAATAATTATTTAGAAGATTATAAAACACATTTTAAGATTAATCAATTAGTTTCAACGAACTCGTCTTTAATATTATATATAAAAAATAAGTTTATTTTTATTATTGAGTCAAGTTGATGGGCAAACTAAGAATCTTCATCTTGAAAATGATATAACATACTAAAACGAAAGATGAACCCTTGCGCTTGCTGTTCCCCACACGCCGTGCTCTCCCTCGTCTTCATCCCATTACCTTTCCTGTAATTTGTTCAATTATTGGCATAAATTAAAAGGATTTGAATTAAGGGCAATATCCTCATTTGGTAATTGTCCTATTTGGTCATCATTAATGAGTTAAGAATCCTTTCACAATCCCTTAACTAAGGGTGGGGCGCAATCCGGTTTGGTCCAGTTTTCACCTCACACTGGACTATTCAATAGGTGCGATTTGGTCCTCTTTTTTTTATATATGATGTTTTTTTTCATATATTTTTCCAAAAAAAAAAAAAATTTACAAATTCCAACTAAAATTTTATTTTTTGGGCCTAAAAATTCCCAAATGATTCAATTTCATGCAAAGATAGATGATTGAGCCTAGCTATTTTTGGGATTAATTTTTTTTTTTTTTTTTAATTACAACTAGTTTGGTCTGGTTTTGTAAGGTGTGAAACCGGCACCAAAACACGTTTGAACCTATCCGGTTTGATTCGGTGCCGATTTGTTGACTTTTTAGTCAACATGGGTTTTTCTTTTAATTTTATCCATCTAGTGCGGCTCGATGTTCCTGTTTTCCGGTCTCGATGCCCACCACTACCCCCAAAGAGATCTTGTCCACTCTTATCATGACAAGTCTCATTTAGATCCAGGGCCAAAGAATTACTAACCACCACTCCAAGTTGCGGAACCACCAAAAAAGTAGATAGATCATCCTGCATATGCATGTCCATTGGAAGCATCTTAACCTCATCTCGGATACTCGCATATTACTCTTCAAATCACAGTTGCTCAGCAAGTATTCCCAACACTGCAGAACATAGTGTTTCATCTCCATCATCTAAGGTATCGTGACCAACCCGCCTCGACACTTCATCCATTCTAAAACTTGCACTGTGCCTCGCCCCTATACGAATTGTCGCAACCTCTCACTTTTGTCCACTCTTGCATGGAGAGGAAACCGCATCCGTGTCATGGAAGGAAGATCACCAAGATTGGGTACTAGAACTCGTACGAGCCTTGACCCTGTCTCACCTCCAAGACCCATCTCCTCTATTCTTTTTATCACTATGTGATAAAACAACCTGCCGAGAAGAGAGACATCTCGCCAATAACCCAATTAGTTTGCCCCATATGTTTATTTATCCTTCAAGCCATGCAAAGGCATATGTAAATTGGGTATAGACATCAAAATTAAGTTTGCCATGTGAATCCTCATATTTCTTCATACTTTCTTTTGTAGCATGACCAATGCGACCGCAGGCAAAACAGTAGTTAGGTATATATTCATAATGAAACTCTATCATCTTCTCACCTACCTCCCTGAGGGTAACAGAGCCCTCCTCATCAAAGGCAGCTGCACATTGTATTTGAATAAAACTTTCAACGGAGTTATCCCCGTCTTTATTATCCACTCATAATACATCATCAACCAGCGACCCAAAAGATGCCTTGGGTTAAGGTTGTTATAGGTATACATCCATCACCAACCACATCATCTAGTAGCATTAAAAATAAAATAAAATGTAAAAAAAGGCAGTAAATCCAAGGCGCCATTTCAAGAACCCGTTTTTGATCCCGTTCATAGAAAATGCGTACCCAAAAATGATTAGTCACAATCTCCTTAATCGAAACCTCATCAAAGCCCCTCCATAAACTAGTAAAATGTCTCAATGAACCTCTTGACTTGAGAAGACTTTAGCCACCATACTATACAAAAAGCCTAGAAAATGGTCAAATAGTGCGGAACTACCAATCACTACCCCAACTTTTTCTCAATCAGTCAAATCCAATTGGCGCTCAAATGAGTGCTCAATCTCCTCAAAAGCCATATCAACACCAATAACCAAAAGCCCCAAGTGCACTATACAAACCTGTGTTCGTATCAACCCAA